GCAAAGGTAGGGACGTCCTGCACCAAAAAATCATACGTAGGGATGTTTTCCACAAGACCCATCATAGGTAGGGACGTTTTGCGCCAATTACCCTTTTAAAAATAACACAATAGATACAAATGTTAAGTACAAATGAAGAGAAACTACAATGCATAAGTAGTTAGAGACTTTGAACTTTTTCATCACACAATTCTCTTCAAACATAGTTGGTTCTCATGTTTGTATCCATTTGCTTTGAACGCCACCTAGTTCATGAGTGCTTTTAGATAATTCATCATCACATAATTCTCATTGAAGCGGCTCATTTTTCACCCACATAGGCGATCTCCATAAAGAGTATTCTGCTATACTTAAATGAATCAAGGTATTAAGCTCATTAAGAGCGTAGCTTAATCTGATTATCGCAGTAGTTAGTCACCGTCTCACCATAGGAATGAGTAGAAGTAATAAAACTTCCTAGTGATTACTTAGTTTTTAAAAGTTCCATTGTCCCATTTAATCTAGATCTTAAAATCATTAGTCAACTAGGTTAGGTTGTCACCATGGAAACTCTTTACTACTTTATACGTTCTAACCATATTCCTTCTAAGATCTGTACACTTGCTCTCTTATCCAAACTTTAGTTAGGGGATTCGAAATATTATTTTTTGATTTCACATAATCTATTTAGTCAACTAGGTTAGGTTGTCACCATGTAAACTCTTTATTACTTTATAGGTTTTAACCATATCCCTAAGATGATCTTTACACTTGCTCTTTTATCAAAACTTCAGTTAGGGGATCTGAAATAATATTTTTTGAAATCACATAATCTATAGAGCTAATTTCATAGAGAGAAAATAGGATATAAAATAGGATTTTATCTGTTGGGTAGTGTGCGCTTTTTCTAATAGGATTGTGTCTATGGCATATGTCGGGATGTATTGTTATACATAACGTTTTGTGTCCATCCAATTGCTAATTGACTATCACAATGGATACATATAGCAGGTACAGGTTTTGTCCAACACGGAAAATCATCTAGAAAAATTCGTAACCATTCGGCTAATTCCCCATCTTTGACTAATGCAATGAAATTTGAATCCATCGAAATCTAGCTATACAAGTCTGTTTTGAAAATTTCCATGACACTGCAGCACCTCCAAGTGTAAGTACATATCCACTTGTCGACTTGGAGTCTNTCAAACTTATTTGTTAACATCATCTTTGTAGTTTGAATTATATATCATTATTACTAATAATTAACATGTCATCTACATATAAAAAACGCATGACACATTCAATTTGAGTGCTCTTGACATACACACATTTTTCATACTCATTAATTTGAATCATTTAACACCATTACTGTATCAATTTTTCCATAACATTTTTAGGAGCTTGCTTTAACTCATAAAACGATTTAGCAAGTCGACTTACTTTATTATTATTTTTTTTTGTCTTGAGGGAGGCAGGAAATCCTTCAATTTGCTCCATATGGATTTATACTCCAATTCACCATTCAAGAATGACATTTTAACATCCTTATGATACATTTCCAAACCTTTTAATGTTACTATTGCTTTATGCATATGAATGAAAGTAATTTTTGTAACATGTGAATATATGTAGAAATAACATTACTTTTTTTGTTGCCTTTACCGATAATTCTTACTTTGTATTTGTCAATTGATCCTATTGCCATTTTTCTTTTAAAGATCCATTTACACCCAGTGGCTTATTATCGAGTGATAGATCTACAAGTTCTCTTGTGTGATTTTTTGTGTGGATTCAATTTCATCTTGAACAACCTCTTTCCAATATGAAAATTCATTTGAAGATACAACAGCATACTATTGCTTTATGCATATGAATGAAAGTAATTTTTGTAACATGTGAATATATGTAGAAATAACATTACTTTTTTTGTTGCCTTTACCGATAATTCTTACTTTGTATTTGTCAATTGATCCTATTGTTAACTTTCTTTTAAAGATCCATTTACACCCAGTGGCTTATTATCGAGTGATAGATCTACAAGTTCTCTTGTGTGATTTTTTGTGTGGATTCAATTTCATCTTGAACAACCTCTTTCCAATATGAAAATTCATTTGAAGATACAACAGCTTTATAACTTCGAGATTCATTTTCTAATAAATACGTTAAAAAATAGAACTTAAGGAGGTTATCCTACTCGACCACTTATTGTGTCTATGTTCATCCTCATTTATTGATTTTTGATCTATAATCTTTTTTTACTGTTTTTATTAGTGATAGTATCATGAGGTCTCTCAAGTGAAGTAGATTCACTTTGTATGTTATAGGAAAAAAATTACGAAAAATATACAATAACATGCCTTGATTCAATAATTGCATTAACATGCACATTAAAATTTCAGATTTATGTACAATAAATTTGTATGCACTACTATGATAGGCATAATCAATAAATACACAATCAACGATTTTAGGTCATATTTAACCTTTTCAGATTTATGAATTACTATCTTTGCTAAACATCTCCACACCTTTAAATATTTATAAATAGATTTATAACCTTTCCATAATTCATAAGATATCTTGTACATTTTTTGGTATGAATATTTGTTAAAAATATAATTGGCGGAAAACAAAGCTTTCTCCCACATGTTCTGTATTAATCCCCAATTTATCAATATATCATTTATCATCTCTTTTAATATTCGATTTTTGCATTCGACAATGACATTATATTGAGGAGAATAAGGCACAATTGCTTGATGAATAATTCCATGTTCTGACTAGAATTGTTCAAATATGGAATCATATTCACATCTTCTATCACACCTTATTGGCTTAATCTTTCTGTTAAGTTCATTCTCAACCTCTAATTTAGTGTTTGAACACTTCAATTGCCTCATTTTTGCTTCTGGTTAAATACACATAGCAATATGGAGTGAATTCATCAATAAAAGTGACAAAAAATTTTTTTTACAGCCTTTAGTTTGTACAAATTTTAAATCATATATATCAATGTGAATTGATATAGAGGTTTAGTAGTTCTTTCAATAGAATGACAGGATAATTGAGCCATTTTGACGTCTACGCATATTACTTGACCATATCTGAATCATGAACTTCTAACTTTTTTAGATCACGGACTTTCAATTTTTTATTTCAAGAACTTGGTGCTTCCAACCATGATCCTTCTATGATATTTTACAAAGTCATGACTACACCAATGTGAGGATACCTTTTCAATTAAATCAAAAACTCAATTCTGTACTAGATAAACCAAGAAAAAATAAAGAAAATTAGAAAATATTTTTTTAATATTTTCTTTCTTTTCCTTTATGATTCTCGACCCTATAGTAATATATATAGACAAAGAGCTTCAATCCAAGTCCAAGTCGAATTAGACAATTTTTTTTTAATTTAACATGTAATCCTGAACTTTAATTAGGGGTGGCAACGAGTTGGAATTTGAAGCTCAGGCTCGACTCGAGCAAAATGGGTTCGGATTTTTTTTTGCCCGAGCCGAGCCGAGAAGGGCTCGAAAAAAATTTTTGAGGCCACAACGGCCTTTCCGTTTGTTTATTTTTTATTCTTTTATATATAACACAAAGGAAGCTACATAGCGGTCCCCTCCTTCTATTTCAAATTTTTTTTTTAAAATTTTATAAGGCCCACACGTGCCTGTTCGGCTAGGCCTGATTTCCCAAAATGGGGCTAGGCTCGAGCTTCGGCTCAATTCTACCGAGCCTCGAGCTGGGCTGACTCAGGATTTTTTTCGGCCAAGCCACGGGCGCCCCGAGTCGGCGAGCCAAACTGACATCCGTAACTTTAATTATAATTACAATAAGTCTAAATCTTTTAAAATAATTGCAATTGAGTCCAAAACTTTACCAAGCTATCAAAGGGAATTGTTCAAAGATATATTATCCAAGTTTCAATAATAGATCACTTATAATCAACTCTAAACCACCCAATCTCAAAAATTGCACTTTCATAATATATAAAATCGCAAAAGCTATAATATCATCAATATTTTTTTTGTCCAATCGTACATGTATTTCATCCATCCAATATTTGATAATTAGGTGGCACAAATGACCATGTTGCCCCTCTAGTTATTCTCACTAATTTAAGTTCAATTTTCTTCAATTGTTCTATGCCAATCTCGAATTTCGGAGTTTGGCCATCACTAAATATTGAATTCAAAATTATAACTATTCATCAAGAAAAAACTTAAGGAGTCACTCGATTTGTTTTTTATGGCGACGGTTCTCAATACGAGTTCGTGTTCTCTATTTCGCTTATTCTAAAGTTCCTAACCTATCGAGATATTAGGTCTATCAAGTTAATCTCATACATTGGTAAATCAAAATATCATTAAACTTACAAAAAGATATACACAATCCCTATGCAGGGATTTAGATAAAATACTTAGCATTCAAATGGAATCTAATCCTCCGCACGATTATATTATAGAACTAAAATGAACACGTGGTCTGTTCAATGCATTCAAAGTGTACTAATATCACTTTTAAAATATTTAAGCGATAGGACAAATCGTAATCCAAATAATGACTTTTCTGGATTATAATTGACTTTTCTGAATAGAAATTTTCAGTAAAATTTGAGAAGTTTGAGCAAATATACATGTTAATATTTCACGATTTTTTATGATAATTCAAGAGGGAGAATTAAGGTAAAATATTGAGTCCTAGCACTTTTTGTGATCTTTTTACTCTCAAAACCGACACTTTCAACTAGTAATTGGTTAATAAAAACTTCAATTTCAGAATAAATATTCGAATAAAAACAAATTCCCAGTTAATTTTTTGCAAAGGTTTAAATAAGGTCAAGAGTAATTTAGGTACACTTGTGATTTTTGTTGAACATCCATCAATTGAGGTCACTTCTTGCAATGGCCACTTCATCACAAAATTATATATTTATCGAGGTCGTTGGTTGAACTTGTATACGCGTGTATCATGTGCGCGTGAATATAATGTAGGCCCGCCATTGGTTGAACTTTGTCAAGTAAGAAAGTCATCCAAAAGCTCAGCAAACAAATTTCTCAAAATCTCTATCTCCAAATCCATTGCTAACTTCTTTTGTTCCTCTTTCAACTTGTTATTCCACATGAGCCCTCTTTCCATATCCTTCACATATTGCATTGCCCACTCAAATGAATCATTATATTCTCCATTAATCCAAGATTTTGCTTGCCTTAAAATCACACAATCTACCTCAAAATCATCAAAATTTCCTTTTGTAGCCAGTTTAAACCTAAAGAAATCCAATAGAATATGATCCAAATAAGGGTTTTCCTCATAATTCTTGGCTAATTCTCTTGCCTTGACATGGCCGAGCAACTGCTTAGCTTTCTCTTCAGTTGCATTTACCTCATCTACCTCTTCAGTGTCGAAAATGGATTTTTCTTCTGCTTTCTCGAATTCTTGAATCCTTTGCATGAGCTGGCATTGTCTATCTGTCATGCATGGCTAATTGATTATAATTTATTGGCATAACTATGAAATGATAATTTATTGATAATTGTGATTAATTAGGCATACTTTCAACGTTGGCAAAGATTTTTTGCTGAAAAGGTGAGATGGATTCTTCATCTTCTCGATATAGAGAATCAAGAACTGAAAATGGGCTGTGCTGCTCAGATTCCTCAAATGATAATTCCCCCTGTAAACATATAAGTATATTATTACATTAATAACAAATATACAAATTTAACAACAATAATCTATCAAACTCTTCTCTAATAATTTAAATTTTTTGACAACAATATCATTACTGTTTAACATGGCATCAGTCTTTAGTTCAGTCTCTTTGTAGCCTATCAATAAATAGATTGATCTTGAAGAGAAAGTGAATATAGTGACCATAGGTGAGAGCGCGTAATTCATATTAATAAATCAATTAATAAAGCTACAATTGATGCCTAACCATTAAGCCTCCACTTCTAATTTATAAATAGTTAGAAATAAGTGACGAATAAATTGATAGTAAATGTGGATTCATTAAATTGTGTAGTTAAAAATAAAGTCTGTGTTGGGTTTTAATTAGTCATATGAGCCTATATATGTAATTAATTGTTAAGGTTAAACACATTTAAAGTGATCTAATAAAGAATTAAAGTTATTGGGCTTTGGGCATATAAATAAAGTGTGCGCCTAAATATATGTAGA